TGAGAAGATGAATTTGGTATGGAGTAAAATGCAAGAAAGAACATGTGGAGTGCATTTGGGAACATGATGGTGGTTTTAGCCCAATATATAAAATGTTGTACATTGGCCAAATATGACTCTTTCTTACTGACTTAGGGCGTAAGACATTTGTTAATATCAAGAACTTGTAGATTATCGTATATCAATGTAATAATCTGAGGACAAAAAACAGGCACATACCTATGAATTCACAAGCTTTTGAGTTGGGAAGTCGTTTTAAACCTTCCATTACATCTATCTATGCTCAGCTCACTGTCAGCTTCCTCTACATCTGCAACATTGTCAGATGAACAATGTTGTTCCATGAAAAGCATGGATTACAAAAGATCTTATCCGCGTAGATGCAATACCAAACCCCAAAAAAACTCACTTGTCTACCAAAATGCGAAACTTCACACGTTTTTTAATGCTACCCACCCTATCATATCCAATGCCAATTTTACTATGCATCAGTTTTATTGCTAATTCTGCATTCCCTGCTTTCCTTAAGGCAGTTAGCAAAACCGTACGAACTCTGCCTGGAATTTCCCGCCCACGGTCAACGATTCCATCAGCTAACTTGCAAGCCTCTACAATACGGCCTGCTTTGCACAAAACATTGATCATGTGTTCAAATGCAGTATCTAAAACAATACCCATCGGTGCCAGTTGATCCAAAATCTTACAAGCCCTTGCAACCTTGCCTGAAAGACAAAGCCCAGTGGAAAGAGCTCTAAATGAAGCAGCTGTTGGAGTGATGCCCTTGTCAATCATCATATTCCACAGTTTCAATGCATCTTCGTTCCGGTGGACTTTAAACAGCCCGCTAATAAGCATTGTGTATGTATACACAGTTTGATTGCAGCCTTCTTGTTCCATTCTGTTGAAAAGCATTAAAGATTCATCAATTTTTCCACTTTTAGCTAAGGCATCTATCAGTGCATTATAGCAGTAAGAATCACGAGGACATCCCTTTTCAGCCATCTCCACAAAGAGCCTTTTAGCCTCATCCACTCTCCCTGCTTTCCCAAGACCATCAATTACACTTGAATAGAGCATGGCATTGATAGATTTATTATTATTTTGACAGTACTCAAGCCACTGTAAGGCCTCTTCCAATCTACCACATTTAGACAAACCCTTTACAATAACACCATATGTTAATTCATCGGGTTCAACTCCTTCGTCCTTCATTCTGTCAAAGAGCCTCATTGCTGCGTCTAAGTTTGAATAATTCATGTACGCATCAATCAAGGCTGTATAGATCACAGCATTAGGTCTGCAACCTTTCCTAACCATGCTTTCCAAAATGACATTTGCTTGCAAAGGCTTTCCATCTCTACAAAGCCCTCTTATAACTAAACTATAAGCATGTGATGGAATATCCAACTCTTTTTCAACCATTTCATGATAAAGCGCTAGACAGGAGGTGAAATCAGCTTCTGTATAGCATGCCTGGATGAGGGTCGTATAAGTAATCTTATCAGGTACCACATTTCTAGCCTCCATGTCTCTTAACTTCTGCATCGCTTTATGTGCCTTCCCAGTCTTGCAATATCCTTTGATCATTGTATTATACGTAACAATATCTGGTTGAATTTTCCCACTTTCCATGACTTCGAACACTTGCTCAGCAGATTCAATAAACATAGCATTAACTAAACCATTCATCAGAAAATTATAAGTATACAATGTAGGTTCAATCCCACTCTCTTTCATACCTCTCCACACACACAACAACTCCTCAACCATACCCACACTTCCAAGACTCCTAACCAAAGAATTAGCCGCCAACAAGTTCATCGTAAAATTACAATCTTTGAAGTCCCTAAAAACATCCCTAACTTTACTTACATCATTACAAGCAGATAAAATCGCTATCAAAGACACGTAGCCATCAAGATTATGGGCATACCCTCTTTGCCTGCCTGCCCAAGCAAAGAACCGATAAGCGGTAACAGAATTTTCAGAAAGCCGGTCTGAGTTCAACACGAATGCAACAAAATTGGGCGATAACTTGATAAGATATTCTTTGCAATAAGCAGTCAAGTTTTCCTCCATTTGAGGCGAATTGTCTAAAAGACTCAAAATTTGGGACACCCATGGAGAAGGCTGGAGATTTTTGTGGTCGGTGATAACTTCAGAGAGATCTGTGAAAGGATGCACCCACTCAGGAGGAGGGAGTCTTGTGGTAGTAAATTCGCATTTTGGGACCAAAGTGGAATGTAAAATCGGGTAGGGCTTTGAGAAATCTGCAGAGAGGAAAGCAGGAAGCTTGGATTTTCCATTGCTTTGTTTGACGATTGCAGCAATGGTGTGAAGGGTTTTTCTCATGGTGATAACTGAAGCAGAAATTCAGTGCTGCACTAAGTCCAAATTCGAGTAGAAGAATGGAGTTTCATACCCAATTAATCTTGTTAGGGAAATTCCAAATTCGAGTAAAACCCTTTTTTTCAACATTCTACATTTAAAACCCTTTTTTTCAAAAGGAAAAAAAAAACCTTAAACCCCAGGGACACAAGTTTCACAAATATGGATTTGGTGTCAAATTTCTTGAACTTCTAACATGATTTTTTTTTCAAAACACTAACCCCTAAAGTTGTTCCCAAACAAGCCTTTAATTGCAAAATACTTTGGTTTATTTTGTAGAGTGCTTATTTGGTAGACCTAAAATCTACAAGTACATCATTTTTAATTTACTTTCTTTCTTCTCATATTTGTGAATTTTTTTTATTAGGCCATATATGAGACAACCGACTCAATGTGCTATTATTTTGGCTCAACAATTTCGATCTGTACATCTTTACTTCAGAGTTTTCAGTCTGCTTTTATTTCTTATATTCCTCGTACTAATAATATAATATAATTGATCGCTGAACGGGGAGTCGGTTTGGCTTTCTCAAAAAAAAAAAAAGTCTACCTAAAATAATACGGATTATAGACTTTGGGTTCACAGCAACATTTGACTATTTTTTGTGTCTCGTATAAACCTCTTTAGAATTATCCTTAATTTCCCCTTTTCGAAATGTCCCTCCCTCTTCTTCAATCCTCGACTTCCTTTTATATGTTTGTTCCAGTCCTAAATAACAACTTGGCACAATTTATTAAGCTATGATATACTCCGTAATTCATTTGTCATTTATTACAGTGATTAAGATGGAGTTTGCATACAAAAAATGGCGCATTGCTGATTTTGTTCAAAAGTGTCACTTTGTTATACTTACATATATGAATACATACATACATAGTTACATACATACAAAGCGTCATAGACACACGCTGGCACTGAAATGCGCACCCAATGGGCGGGGGCTTCTCCCTCAGGTGTACATCATCATCATCATCACCATCATCATCATCATCATACTCATCATCATCGTCATCATCATCATCATCACTTCTCAAGCATCCGGTCAATTTCACCATTCCGGTTATACATGGAAACTATTTTCTTTGCATATGATGGCATGTGCAATCCAGCTCTGCATATATATATAAATAAGACTGGATGGATGGCTTCAATTCAAAGGTGTACCCTTTCAACAGAGGATTTATTTATTTATATTCACAGTGACTCTTTTGCGCACCTTTCGTGTCCCCATGTGCGGACGATGTGCAGATAATTGCGTATCGTGTGGTAATCTATTGAATACCGCGCGAATTCCAGACCCTTTGGACCCACCTGAAGAAGCCAAATGAGAACATTGTTACAAGAATTGAACAGTTTTTTTGGTACACAAAAATTGAACTTGAGTTATGGGCATAACTAGCTGTTGTTGCTGTGTACCAAAAAAAAAAGATTTAAAGAAAGAAAGAAAGTCCTTACAAGGTTCAAAATAAATGCTATTAGGTTGCCTATAAACTTTGGGGCAGGCTTCGAAGGACCTCTTCCTGGACAAGTTTGTGAATTAGTCATGTATTCGAGCACTATCAGAGATTAAACCAGAAAACAGATCTCTTACGAGCAAATGTATAAGAACTCATAGAGAGTTGATAGAGACTATTGTTAATAGAAATATTAGTAAACACTCGGTTTGAAGAAGAAGAAGAAGAAGAAGAAGAAGAAGAAAAAAAAGATGATGCGCTAAGGCTTCTCTTTGATGGAATGTTTCCCTTCAAGCAAATATACTTTCAAGTGTAAAACGCGAAAATCTTTACAGAGAAAAAAGAATTCTTGTGCCAAACACAATGGAACTTCCATAGGTGAAGCAACAGAAGAAAACATACCCAACTTAGCATTGTCATCTGCCTTCACAGTTTCCATAACAAATGGCCTCCTCTCACCCTGGCAATAACAAGTTTTTTTTTTGTTACAAGAAATCATTATGGCAACTTCACAAGATGAATGGGCATATGCATTACAGTGCTGATTGTATGTGAGACTTCCAAGAGATGCTCGACAAGGCTAAGCATTTCTCTTCCGCGTTCATTTCTGTGTTTGCGCAGTAAATATCTTGTAAAACTTTGACTTTAATTATTATAGAAAGGGGAAAAAAGATGTATAATTGAAACCATTTTTACAGTTTTACCTGATGGTAATGTACTGGGGGTGTTTCGTCATGCTAATTCCAGCATATTTGGGCACACCCATATACCCCACTACCAAATCCTGGAAAGGTTAATGACAGTGCTTGCATTTTTATGTAAAAAGATAATGTTTCACTCTTTATTTCACGTTAAAAGATTTGCAAATTCTTTTGGTAGAGAAAACTCACCGCTAATGCATTTGTGTAGTCAAAACAGCTACAATGCAGAGAGAGAACAGAAGAAAAAACATAGTTCACTGTGCAGTTCTTGTGTAGTAAATGATTCAAATAAATAAATTGTCAACCGCCACACAAATTTATCACTGATATTTCATGAACTTTTGGAAGTCAAAAGTCAGGAACTTGTATATACCATAAATAAGTTGGAGAATATTAGCGAGGAATTTACCTGTAACATGATGGTGCAATGACATCAACTAACTCATTTGCTGGTAAAGAGAAGTAGGGAACCTGTTTTAGCAGATGTATAGAGTTAAATAAAGAAGCATTGGGGCAAGCCATATACTAATATTGGAACTATAACACCTCTTCAATGCGCCCATCCAAATGTTTCAGGTGGACCTGTCAAAATATTGCATTTAGAGTTAATAATAGTATAACCCGTATTCTAACACTACGCATAAAATTGTTCATTACCAGATTGGGGTGAGGTGGGGGAGGGGGTGGGATACGGGCTCTGGCCCACCCCAATTTCGGACATTTTTACATGACACATTTTCATATAAGAATTTAAAGTTCCTCCTTGAAAAAAAAACTAAGTTGATACCTTGTAGTCTTGCATAAACTCATAATGAAGCACAGTATCTGGTTCATCACTAGCAGCCTTTAAGAACTTATCTAATCCTTCTCGTGTTCCATTATCCACTGTCAAGAAAATATTGGCTCACTTTAACTCTTGGGTGCTATAGTATTTCAAGAAACATAGGCACAAAAGACTACCTCCATCATTACTACCGATATTAACGAACAAAAGTTTGGAGACAAATGCAACTTTCCTTTTTTAATCTTGCTCATAGGTTATTCACACGAAAACCTAATAAAGGAAATAGACTTAAGTGCAACACAACAGACTGTAGTGCTCTGTGTAGCGTTTACACAATGCCAAAAACTTTAATTTTGTTGACATATTTGAGAGAACTATAAAGCAGAATGGGAAGTGGTGATGAACTTCTAGTGTTTATGTAGTAATTGATTCCAAATTAAGGAGTACTTACCACAGTTGGTGCCTAAAACATAAAGTTTTTCCAAACCCAAATAGTGCTCAACTGATCTTAAAGCTGCAGGCCACGAAATTACACCGAAGTGTGATAACGAGTCTTGAAAAAGAAAAAAGAGAAACAAAAGCAGAAAATGCAGAGCACTGTTGCAATCAAACCTTGCACTTGGCATCCGACACCACAGAACAGAAGTCTCTTCACACCAGCTGCCTGCGAACATGACAAAATCACCATCATCATCATCATAGGCTATTTCCATGTGCACGGAAAATATCACGAGACGACGATGAGTTGAGATATTTTCGTTTGTCATGTTCGTTACATGATTTATCTCGCAAGACAAATATGCAAATTATGGAACATGACCATAATGGGAAGACAATAAATAATATGCAGTATGAATAAATATTATGGAGCACAAGCATAAGAAAATTTAAACAAAACAATCCATCTAATTGGGAAAATAAAAACTAAATACCTATACATTGTGCAAAAGAAGACCAAGAATGAAATTGAACTAAGGATTCAATGACGACATGCTTCATTTGCCTAATGTACCAAACATCAAGAATTGTAACAACCCTAAAAAATCCCACATATGGGGTCTATGGGTAGATGCACACAGAAACACACATAGAACCACCCCTAACTAAGCCTGCCTATAACTCTAATCTACCAAGTTTCAACAAATAACGTGTATGCAAAAATTGACAAAACAAACAAACAACAGTGTACTAAAAGAAACGACATGAGAGACCTCAACTAAAGCAAGAGTGTTCAAATTAGGAGAGAGTGTTGGCTTGACTCCTTTAGCCGCTAGTACTTCCTCTGGTGTCCTATTCAAGGCATCAACCAACGTTGATGATTTGGATAAATGGAATATATAATATTCATTAACTATGTATTGAAGGCCAAAATCATCAGCATCTCATATCTTTTTCACCTTGCTAAGATGGGACGGGGAACAAATCTATCTTCTGGATCACTGAGACAAATTAATAGAACTATATGAAGATCACATAGAATGAATAAGAAACACATTCCACAATGAATGAGGAAATATAGTACCTGGGGTGAACAGTTGAAGTAGAATAAAGAATACCTCTGGACACAAACAACAGCATCTACCATATCAGCTCTCAACATCTCCGTTGCAATTGTTGTCACGATGCCTGTCCATTGGGCTCCTGCATTACACACAAAAGAAAAGACAAAAAATGAGCATAGATATTTCAACAAGAAAAAATCTTAAGAATGCTACAGGGATTATGTTAGAATGCTAATAACTAGCAGATTTGCATAATGAGGTACACCGCTTAATGAGCCATCACATTGACAAGTTCACCTTCTAACGGCTTAGTTTTACGAGCATAAAGTAACTTCTCGTGCACACCCATATAAGTTTCATCCAGTGAATCAACTTTCCTTCCCCGGCCATGTACCACAGGCTCCAAAGCCTGAAAGTGGAGCAGATTGAGAAATAGGGTCTACCTTGTATTTCATATAACAAACAGGGGAATAAGACAGGCTAACATGTGCACGGCATGGGAAAAATGAACTCACCCACATTACAGAAGCACATTCCCTTTAATATACAAGTATGATAAAGCTACAAATATACTCACCTACATTACCCACATTATGTAAAGAAGCGCATTGGCGCACCAGGTGAGTTGTTTCCCTTATAAAGCTAGGTTGTTTGCCTAGAGATAAGGTGTTTGTTTAGTGGACATGTTTCATGGGTATTTACCCGCATTAGTCTTTTTGTCCACCAAATACTCCTTGGCTGAACACTAATGCTGTTTTGGCTGAATTTGCTAATGAAAAAAAAATTGCATTCCATGATTGATTTTTTATTGAAGCAACTTAAATCAAGATAAAAAATACTGCTGTGCTTCACCTTTCAACATCATTCTAATTTATTTATTTTAAATTATCCTTATAAAGTTGTTATTGTTGTTGAAAATAATCACTATAGGTAATTCGTATTATATGCTCCATAATAACACAATTAAGCTATTTTATCAAATTCAGCACAACAATTAGCTAAAAAATTAGATTATAAGGCGGCCCATGGCTGCAAAACAGGCACTTTTTGTAAACAGTTTATGAGCATTTCCTCCATCACATCCCAACTGCTTGGGATTAAGTGCTGATAATGATGAACTAATGATGATATAATCATTTCCGGCAGCTGGTAATTTTAGCTTTTAAAATCATATACGCATGGGAAAAGAACATATAGGGAACCATCTCTTCTCCTTCTCTCCCATTCTCCCCCATCCAGCCCAAGTGGTCAATTGGCACATACATCTACTCACTAAGGCACTGTTATTTTGGAGTCTAACTTTTAACTTCTAAAATTTTTCAATTCCTTCGAGTTTTTTCCAACATCCAATTATGTTTTTCCAACCCAAAAGAACATAGATTAAATATGCACCATGTATTTGTACACATATTCCCTGACTGAGGATATGGCTTTAGATAGGAACCTTTGGCGGACTAGGATTAAAGTAGCTGGTTAGGAGCGCGGTGCTGCAGAGGTTTTTGTAGTGTGTTGTGTTTGATTGGAATCTTCTACTTTTGCTTGCTGGACTTTCATTTCATTGTACTTGGTGCTTTATCCTGTTACCCTGTTATATTGTGTTCCCTACCATATTTTTGTGCAGGTTGAGCCGGGGGTCTCTTGGAAACAGCCTCCCTACTTCCGAGTAGGGGCAAGGTCTACGTACACACACCCTCCCCAGACCCTACTGTAGTGGGATTCAACTGGGTTGCACATATTCCTTAATGTGTGAACTGTGAACCACAATTAACCAAATAATTAAACCAGATAGAGTCACAATAAATCAAAGAGAAAGTCACCTCAACTCTGGACATGCCATTCCCCAAGAAAGCACATGCACTTTTTACATGAGCTATGTAGTAAGTATCACACAACCCGCAATGGCTGCCAATCAAGATTTCAAATTGTACAAATCCAAATTAGGCAAAGATTGAAATGTATCAAATCATTCAAAACCCATAAAAATTGAAATTCACACAAAAAAAAAAGGAAAATTGAAAAGGGAAAGAGAGAGAGAGAGAGAGAGGAGATGAGGAAAGGAAGAACCTGCAATGGTCCGTAGCTGGGTAGATCCCACCAGGAGGAATGGGTCTGGATCTGTGCCTCCAATCTTCTCTGGGCTTCAATGGCTTTGAGCTGGAGGAGTTTGCTTCTGTGAAATCAAAAGAACGAGAGCTAAAGTATGTGTTGTTTTCAAGAGTGCAACGACACGCATGAATCAAGAAGTGTATTAGAAAGAGGAACCTTTAGAAGCAGAGACAACATGGAAGGTGAAAGGCAAAGGAGAGAGCTTTACACTGAAAAGGGCCATCCCTTCTTCTAAATCAGCTTCCAATTTGGTGTTCACTGTGCCAAAGCAGAGAGAAATTCGCTGTAATAAGGAGCGAGCAATGCTGTGTTAGCCGCGTTCCAAAATGGAGGCGTTCAGTTGACACGTGCCCCCTTATAAAAAAAGAATAACAATTTTCTAATTTTTGTTATACAGCATTTTTTAAATGCTAACACTAAATTTTAACGTTGTGGTCAAACAAATTCTTAATTCTTTTGTCTAAATCCATTTTTAATTCAATTTATTTAAATATTGATACAAAATTTTAAAAATGTATGTGTGTGTTATAACTATATCATTTTAACGAGTGTTTAAAACACTTAAATAAAGAAGAAAAAAAGTTGACCTTAGAAATGGGGAGTAATGTTTATGTATTTGAACAATGCTAGTGTTATCCCGTGAAACATATCCCATTTTGTACACTATTATTTTACTGGCAAAACACTAGTATACAATAACACAGAATGCTAGTAGGATTGATACTATTTTGCACTAGTATTCTGTGCTAGTGTATACCAATGATTTGCCGATGCAAAACACTAGGGTACAAAATGAGATATATTTCATGGGATAACACTAGCAAAATCCTTAAATATTTTGTTTTGAGATGGAAGGAATATACCCTTAGTGTACACATTGGCCCTTAATTTAGTTGCTACCTTCGTCCCCAACAAATTTGTGTTGTTTAAATGTTTTTATTTAAAAAAATGGAGTTCAATCTTTTTCTCTTTTTTTTAATCACACACTTTACTTTATTAAGAGTTGAGTCCAAACTCCAACATTCACATAATCAAATTACACCTTTTTTCTTTAGATATATTAATCAATAATTTGACCAAAGAGTAAAACTTTTTTATGTAATTCTTATATCCATAAATTTTATTTTTTTATTTCAACATAAAATTTAATATAAATTCAAACATTTATTATGAACTGAACTGTGTCCTTTCTTTGGTGGGGGGAGAGTATTACCTATCCAAGTAACTAGAACACAACAAAGGCAGATTATTACTCTGCAAATGAAAACATGAATGGATTTCTTTCACTTGATTCAATATGTGTATACATTGTTGTCTATATAGTACATCTTTGCATTGGCACAACTTCATAGCTCCTCATCAAATGCATAACTGGTGACATTTTTTTCTTGTCACATTTGCCACTCTCGTCTTCCATTGTGACTTCTGAAAGAATTACTTATAGGAGAAAAAGAATGGTCCGTATGGATCGCCGATAAATTACAAACTTGTGGCTATCAAAAATTACAAGGCTTGAGATATTGTGGCGGAGCTTCGGCGAATCTGTCTTTCAGGACAACTACTACAGAAGCTTGCTGCTTCGTCGCCTCGATGGCCCTCCAGGAAACAGCTTCATGATCCATCCTAATACCCTCTCAACCACCTGATTTAAGGTTTATTTCAAACACGAAATTGAGAAAATTTCAATCATATCAGTTTTTTAATAACATATCATTCTTCCTTTGTGTCAAGGTTTTGACATAAAGGGCATCTGGCATAGCATTTTGACATTGCTCTTTGGATTTAGTGCTAACTTCTTTTCTCTCTTTTTTTTTGGGGGGNATGTTTGTTAAATCAGCTGGTCATTTAAAAAGCAAAAGTGGTGCAATAGCTACTTTTTGTTGAAATTAATGAAACTGCCACGTTAACATCTCCCTCTTAAGTTATTAATACTCTGTAGTCATTTAGCCTCTCCACATTTTCTAGGTAAGGTGTATGGGCTGCGTAACGCCAACCGATTGATAGTTTAGAAAGTAGAAAAAGAAGTTAATAATGTACTACCTCATCGCCTTCATCTGCATAAGTCGTGGGGTTCTCATGGATAGTTCTTTCTGGTTGTCTGACTGGAACATTACCAGTGGCCATGCTTTGGGCAGTTAAAAGCTCCAACTTTTGTGTTTGAGCTTCAAGCTTCCTGGTTAGCTCCTTGTTTAACTCCTGTATGCAGGAGCAACAACAAAAAAAAAACAAAATTTTAAAAACCATGAACAAGATTGTTCTTACTTCTAAGAACTAAGGTACAAAAACATTGAAAGGGGGGTGCAAATTGAGAATTACCTTATGGTATGTTTGGGAACATGGATTTGGATTTCAAATCTGGATTTGGCTCAAATTTCATGTTTGGGAAACTTAAAAATTTTAAATTTGGATTTGAGTCAAATTCTCCTCATTCATAACAAAGCTTAATTTGAAATTCATGCACCACCCCTTGTCATTTGAAATTCAAGATTTCAAATTTTGGAATTCAAATGCATGAATTGAAATGAAATGCTAGTTGCCAAACACTACCTTAAGTTTAGAGCATTCGGATGATTCAGCAGAGAAGGCTTTCGTCAGCTCTAGTTTCTCCAAAGCTAACTGTAAAGATCCATGAAAGATGGTAATTCCTACTAACTGCTGTTAACACTTATATAGCACTTTTGGATTTAAAAACCACCCTTAACAAAAGCCGGGCAAGGATATAAATGATAGAAATGAACCTCGGAGACTAATGTATTAATATTTTGGATCATTCTTATATGATCAGGAGGAATGAACACCGCTGAACCTTCAAAACTGAGCTGTCCATCATCAAGCGGAAAAGGAAAACTGGAGGATTCAGCACTTAAAGCAGTGTTCTGGCCTCCTGGGTTTAGATCATCTGAGGCGGTAGTCATACCATCATTGTCATCTAAATTCAGTAATCAAAATACTCCATATTAGATACTATGGGAAACTTATTGAATTATTGACAGTGAAGCATTTCAATGTACATGGGCATTTATTACTACATACCAAGATCCTGTGTAGACGTTGACACATCTACTTTACTGGGTGAATGCTTGGTAGTTTCGCCTAATTTGCTACTGCCGGATGCTTTACGTAGTTTTGACAGCAACAGCTTCTTTTCTGCACAACAGATTTTGAGATACATGATTTAGGAGTACGTTTGGACAATGGAAAATGATCCCGAAAGAAAAAACAGTATTAATGGAAGCTATTTTCTTATGCTTGATTTTATTCTTGGAAAATGCAAAGGAAAGGAAAAAATGATTAATATTTAATTATTTATGCTATGATAGAAAAACTTACTTAATTAAATAAAATGATTTTAATACATGTCTAAATTAATTTATTGAGTTTGTGTCAAACATTTAGTTCCCCCTATAATTTCTTCCGTTCATATTTTTGTTTGTGCTTTCCCCTAGATTTTCAGGAACGCAACATTTATTTTCCTCCAGAATTGCTTCCATTCATACGTAGTATTTTTGTTTATGCTTTCCTCTTACTTTAGCGAACGCAAGGTGGAAAGGAGTTGCATAGTTCTCAGATTGTCCTCACTACTTTAATCTCAATACCACACAGAAAGCACAATATACAAATATACATTTTCATTTATTACAACAAAAGGCCCAGGCCCCAGAGGCATTCTCATAAGGCCAGAAGCCATAATATATACTCCCTCCATCCCACTCTCTTTGTCCACTTACCTTTTGGCACACCATCCAATGTACTTCTTTAATCCATTTTATCTTGTAATTTGTATATTAAAAAATTATAGAAATTATATATTAATAATCTATATGTTAAGACAAATCAAACAAGATCACACATGACTATATTTAGGCTTACAAATTGAGAGAATTTGATGAGTCAAAGTGCTTAGATGAACAATTCCAAAAGTCAAAAGTGGACAAAGAGAGTGTGACGGAGGTAGTATTTATGAATGACACCCTCCCAATACCAATTACTCTCATACAATTTGAGATTTGAGAGATGGGGCAGTAATCGATTAATAAGACGGTTAAGCAGTAAAATTAATCCGATAAGAGGTATTGGACCTTAACCATATCACCCCTTATGGAGAGAGACATCAAACACTTATGGCTTTCTCCATATTCCACAAGGTTTAATACTTAAAAATGTTATATAATACTCAAAATGTTATATAATACTCCCTCCGTCCGGAAATGATGTTCCCATTCTACTCTTTTTTCTGTTCGGAAATGATGTTCCTATTCTACTTTTTTTCTCTACTCTTCCAAAAGAGTAAATTCCATAATTGGTCCTTTATAACAGGGGGGTTTCCATATTTAGTCCTCTATTATCAAATATTACCCCCGTAGTCCTTTTTTTAAGAGTGTCTCTCCAGTCTCCACAAATGCTCCTTTTTTTGATCTTCTGCCTTGTTGGTATTAATTTAAAGGCTAAAGGTATAATTTGACATCAACATTATGTCTAGTGACGTGTTCTGATATTGATTAAGCGGATAACACAAAAATAATGAATATGATTGTGGGCTAGGATTCCGACGAAAGACCATATTTGTAAACTATAGTTGTAGTAGAAAGCGACTGTAATTCACAAAGGATGGAAACGGAACAGCCTTTGGAATTGTGTATGACAAAAAAGATATACGGAGTATTATCATTGCGAAATTACACTTTTAATCCTCAAATTAACACCAACATGATAGAAGATCAAAAAAGGGCTATTTGTGGAAAGATACCCATAAAAGAAGGCCCACTGTAGTAATATTTGATAATAGAGGACTAAATAGGGAAACCCCCCTGTTATAAAGGACCAACTATGGAATTTACTCCTTCCAAAAATACCCTTATTTCAAAATGTCACATTCTCCTCATTTTTTCTTTCTTCTCTCGCCTGGTTTCTCAATCTCCTCCTTCTCTTCCTCCTTTTTCTTCTTCTCCAATCTCCTGCAATTTCGTCCACTTCTTCCTCCTCTCCTCTTTCTCCCCCTCCATCTTTTTTCTTCTCTCCTCCTTATTTTTCCTCCATCTTTCTTCTAGATCTAGGCATGGCGGCGGCAAGGATGGTGGCTATGGTGGTGACGATGACGATGGCGTTCTAGATCTGCACTTCTTCCTCTTTTTCTTCTTCTTCTTCTTTTCTTTTTCTTCGTTTTTTGTTCTAGATATGTGCTAGGGTGGCGGCGATGGTGGGACTCTTGCCGATGGTGGGGCTAGCACTAATGTTAGGGTTGCCAGCGAGGTGGGGTGACTGCGATGGCGAGGCTGGCGTCAATTGGAAGTGTAGATCTGCACTTTTCTTCTTCTTCTTCTTCTTTAATCCTCTCTTTTTCCAACTTCTTTCTCCTCTTTCTTTCTTTTAGATCTGTGTCATGGTTGGGTTGT